GCTGTTTCCTGCGGTCTGGTAATGGGGTTGTAACCGCCGGTGCGTTGGCCTGGGCATAGTCGCTCGCCCTTGTCTCCCGCACGGAAAGAGCAGCTCCTTGCCAGGGGCCTGGGGTGCCCCGCCCGGCAGCACCGCGGTCACCCGGGGCGGCTCCTCCGGAACCTCCTGCTTCCCCTGGACTCCTGCGGGTAATAGCCTGGGCGCTGGGAACCTGCAGTGACTTGTCCAAGGTAAGGGACCCGGAGCTCCTGACTTCGTGAGGGAAGGTGAAGCGATGGGTGGGGGAAAGGTTCCCGATCCTGCGGTGAATTAGGGGTGGTAATTGCAGACCCGAGAGGGAAAAGAAAATAAATATTCAAATCCTCTCACTGCAGCCGGCAGTGAATTTGAATATTTATGTACGAAATTTGTATTTGGTGCGTGCATTTACGTGTGGAGGGGTGTGTGTGTGTCTCTATGTATCTCATGTACTTCTGTATATTTGTTATGTGGGACCCCCAAGTGCTAGTCAGATGACACCTTCCTGTCCCCACTGATGGCTCTGCAGGTGCATTGGGAGGTGGTAATGCCCTATTGATGAGATAAAGATCTCTGTGTTGAGCTGCTGCAATTAAATTACCACTAATGTTTAAATTTTGCATTTCTGTGCACTTTGGGGCACCATGAATCAGGGTATGTTGGCAGCTTTCTGAAGCTGAGAGGTTATGCTGGAGGTGGGACTTAGGGATGTAATACTGTAGTCAATTACCCTATTAACCGATAAGCAAAAGTGTATAGGTTAATGCTATAGACTACATGCATTTCTTCTCCTCCCCCGCCAGTAAATTTTTTAGCAGGCTGGCCAGCAGCCTGTCTCAGTCCTGGCTTACGACGGGTCCAGGCCCTACCTTTGCTGTGGCTCTGTATAAAGTGTCATTAGGAGGTATGTGGGCAAGCAGCCCAGCTCAATTCCAGCTGTGCTGGGTTCAGGAGCTCACTCCACCCTCCACTCCCTGGAGAGGAGCTGCTGCCACCTCTGTATCTGAGGCACCAGCACAGGTGACAGGCAGCTGGTCCACAAGGGGAGCTGGTATTTAAACTGCCTCCCTTCACAGACCAGCTTCTACCTGGCACCCAATGCTGCTGCCTCTGATGAAGAGGTAGCAGTGTGGTGTGGCAGAAGGCTCCTTGTGAATGAGGACAGATTGCACTGGCTGCTGACCCCGCTTCCAACTATAGAATAGTTGAATAACTGATAAGAATTCATGAGTTTACTCAACTATTCAGTTAACTAATATTTAACATCTCTAGGGGGAGCAACATCTGAAGCCTTCCCTTTGACCCCTGTGTGGCACAGAGAGCCACACGGATCAGCCAGCTGCTTTGGGTGGCAGTAGGGATGTAAACTCCCTTTTAATCAGTTAACCGGCTAAGTGTTATGATTAACCTCTTAACTGATTAAATGGGGGTGGGCTGAAGCAGCCCCCTCCCCTACTGCAGGCTGGTGGCTGCTACAGAACCTGCTGGTTTACTGTAACTGGTTAGCAGTATCCAGTAAGGCTGATGTTTACTGGTTAACCATTCACATCCCTAAATGGCATGGAGCTACTCCATGTCCAAGGGTCCCAGTAGGGTGGGCCGTGGGCCAGATTAAAAGGCTTGTTGGGCTGGATCTGCCCAGTGGGCCAGATCTTGCCTGCCCCTAGTGTAACTGATTCAGTAGTATTTGCTTATATTTGCTTAGAGCCTGGAATGATGGGTCATTATTTAAGTGATGGTAAATTCAAGTGTTGGCATTTCAAGTATTTTACTGATCATCATAGTTTGAGAGGAGATGAAGCTTTCAAAAGATTTACACACACTAATCTGAGCAATTATTTTGGGTAAGCAAGGGGTATGATTAACTTGATTTTCCTCAAGGAGCAGTGCTTAGTTTCCAGCATTAGGGAAGACCGCCTTAAATCTCTAACTTTCCTGTGAGGAGGTAAATTAAATCACTTCTTAAATGCCTTTTTTATTATTTCTGCTATGTCTGCAAATACAGACGTTAAAATATCTTTTCAGCTGACAGTTAAAAAGCAGCGGTAACAATGTTTAGAATCCTTTTCAGATACAAAATTTGTGTCCACATATGCACTTGCAAATATGAGCCAGATATCCACATTAATATCTGCATATGAGGATACCTGTGGACATAACGTGGATATCTGCAAATTTGGAGGATTCTAAATACAAAATTTATGTCTATAACCACCAAAATGAGCTGTGGATATCTGTACATATCCACGGATCTGCAGATTTGCAGGGTTCAAAAACAATATTGTCGTCTTAGTGCTTCACAGGCTAGTTGCATGGTGTCATAGAAATACAAGGCATTACTTAGGGCTTAGATAATTTTCTCTTCATTTCAGAAAGAGAATGCAGAATTAACAGGACTGAGAGAAGCTCACTGAAAGTGCCAGGTATGGCAATATTCTTGAGATAGATCTGGGAGTAGATAAGTATAAGGATTGAGGCAAATTCTGTGAAAAGTGCATCAGGCAAAATAATGCTCTTGTCTATTCTAGAGCAATCTGTGGAATTGTTTCAAAGCAAATAATTCATTTTCATCATGATTCTCTTTTTAGTTAATATGTAGAAAATGACCTACTGTTTTTTTTATTATTTGTGAATTTTAATGTGATTCAGATAGGAATTCACATCACTGAGATTTGTACATGACAAAGGTCTTAAAAATAAACAGGAAAAGCAGACAGCTTGTCGAGAAACATGTACTTTGGTAGGACATGTTGTTGAACAGGTATTTATCATAAGTAGAGCCTATGGATGAGGAGAAAAAGGTGGTTTGTTATAGGAGCGTTTAGTGTAGTCAATTAACTGATAAACCAAAGCTTATAGGCTAATGCTATTGACTACACGGATTTTCCTCTCTCTTCCCCTGCCAGTAAATTTTTTAGCAGGCTGGCCAGCAGCCCAGCTCAGTCCTGGCTTGCAGTGGGTCTGGGAGCTCAGGCCCCCCCACCTGTCCCAGACAGGGACTGTTGCCACCTTTTTATCAGAAGCAGCACCACAGAGTGACAGGCAGCTGGTCCGTGATGGGAGCTGGTTTATAAACCGGCTTCCCTTGCAGACCAGCTCCTATCTGGCACCCTGCGCTGCTGCCTCTGATACAGAGGCAGCAGCGCAGAGTGGCAGGGGTCTTCTCGGGAGTGAGGCTGGTGTGCACTGGCTGCTGGCCTCACCACCAGGGACTATAGAATAGTCAACTAACTGATAAGAATTCATGAGATTACTCGACTATTCAATTAACCAATATTTAATATCCCTATTTTGTTATGGTGGCTGATACTGACAATAAATGTTTATGATGTGGTGCAGCGAGTTAATAGTAGAGTATCACAGTTTGAGCTTTGGTTTCTGTTGCCAAATGCAGGAAATGAGAAAATGCATTTTCAAGGAAAGTAACCTAATTGATTAATTTAAAGAATTTTATTTTTAGTGGTTACATAATTACATATTAATGTATCCTAAAGAAAGAATTCATACTTTCAAGATATTTTATGCACATTTCATTAAGTATAATGGAATTAGATAATAGGTTACTGTAAATGTATGTACTAGGTAGTTAGTCTTTTTATAAGTCTTTTAAAATACAGGTAATAGTGCATTCAGTGTTATAAAATTTTCATATTAGTACTAGTGCCTATGTAATACAGTGATAGTCATATTTGCAATAGCTTAGTTTTTGCTCTTGTGTATTTGGCATATACTGTACAGACCGGACCTCCCCTTATCCAACACCCTCAGAACCTGACTGGTCCCGAACAAGGAGTTTTTGTTGGACTAGAGGAGGTCATTTCTGGCCCCCCTGCCACCAGGCTCCCAATCCAGCTCTACTTCTGGCCTGGCCACCAGCCTCCTGGCTGGCTCCCCCACAACACCAGCCCAGCTGGGCTTGTGGCCATAGCAGAGCTGCCAACTCCCCTGCTGCTAACCTCTCTGCTGGTTCTGCCTCCTGCCCCTGGCCCTTTGGCCCCGCCACGAGCCCAGCTGGACTGTTGCAGCAGGGTTTTTGGATGCCAGCACCCTTGCATACAGCCTGGCTGGGCTCCCAGCTCCTGCAGAGCTCCAGCTACTGACCATCCACTGGAACTCTGGTCCAGGAACATCCGTGGTCTGGCTGGACCAGAAAGTCCTGGTTAAGAGTAGTTCAATCTGTATAACTTTAATTTGTTAGCTTTCTTTTAACACAGAGTATTGGATCTTGGATTTTAGTAAGTGTAACTTTTACATCATAAACTACTTTATGAATTTGGTAGCTTAAATATTTCAGTAATAAAATGTTGAGGCTCTTAGTGTTTGTTTCTAGTACATACTATTGTGTAGACACTGATTCAGAATGTGGCCTGTTGACCATGAGTTTTTATTTTTGTTTTTTTAATTAGTTAGAAAATAGACCTGTAGTAGCAATATGTATCTTTAGTAAATTAATCTTTCCTTTGTCATCTGGTGAGAAGATAATTATTTTAATGTGCATGTAAAAAGATGTTGTTATAATGCTGTTGACTTAGTTATGAAATTAAAATCTGATCTCATATTAAATCTCACTGTTGAAAATTCAGTAGAATAATTTTATTTCTGGTTTGGTTTTGTGTTTGTTTCAGTTTTCCTGATGCTTCTCCCAAGCTCTAGAACGTCTTCATAGTTTAGTAAGTCTTGTGTTGAGTTTACGGTTCTAGAGCATTTGGGTAGGCTCTTGAAAGCCCAGCCATTTTCTTCTCTTGCATCTTCCTTCAAACCACAGATGTCTCAAATAGTTCCATAGTATGTTTTGGCTTGAGTAGCATGAACAGCTTCAGAGCTCCAGGAATACATTTAGGAGCCCGAAGTGAAATATAAACTGTGATCTGCTATGTTAGCGCCTTCTGGAGCATCAGTGCCCATAAAGTGTAGTTCAGCGTATGTGTCTCAAATTATTTGTTTGTGTTCTATAATCACATATTACTCTAGAAAGGATTTCACTGTGTGAAGTGAGCTTCTACACCTTGTCTTAAAGTATTGACACCTGCATGGCCACTATCATGCCAGATATCAATTATAGTGCACCTCTCAACACAAGAATACATCACTGCTGTTGTAGCCATGCAGCATATTCATGTCCCTGTCCCTGTACCAGTAAGATAACTGGTACATCAGGTTTGCTAAGGCAGTTGGTGCTTTCAGCTGAGAGTGATATTAGAGTAATAGCAGTCAGTAACTGCAACTTAGAATCCAGCCGACAGCACCAATGGGAGCTTTAGTTTCATGTGTGGGCTGTGAATATTTTAAATCCAGTTTTCCAGGTTGAGGCTTTTTAAGTCACTGATGACAGATGCCACATTATTCTCTGTATTAAACACCTGTGTAGTCTCAACACTGACTTACCAGTATTATTGAGACATTGTGACTCCCATACTTATTTAGACATCAGACACTTGGCAAGGTTTAATCAGTGTGCGTCGGGTTTTATTATGACAACAAATCTACCACTGAGCATGTTGCATCTTGTATGTGCTGGATAATGCAACAAATGACAAGTATTGTGGGGTTCATGATGAGCTGTCCAAAAGTGAGCCTTGTTTCTCAGAGACTGGCATGGCACAGGAAGCACTGGTACATAGAACTGAGCACAGAGGTTTCTGGTAGGGAACATGATTTAGGACAAGTGATCTCAAGTAGAGATGTAAAATCCCATTTAATTGTTTAACTGCTTAAATGTAGTGTTTAACCGATTAAATTAAACAAATTAAAAAGGAGGGGGTGAACTGTAGTCACCCTCCCTCTCCACAGTAGGCAGGGACTGCTTCAGTCTGGCCAGAGCAGCCGCTGTCCATGGTGTGCCCTATGGGGCTGGAGCAGCCTCTTGCCTGCAGCAGACGGGGAGCTGCTCCAGCCCCCACTGGTTAACGGAAAACAGTAAGCATCACCTGTGGGCCTTGTGGGGGCCCATGAAAACGTATAGCATTCTACAAGTAAAATATAATATTAGTTTAATGCACAATATTGCATCTCCACCACCTAAATACAAGAATTAAATGACAATCTGATTATTGGTGGTCTTTACAGAACTAGCCAAGAACCATTGTGAGATTATTTAGAAAGGTATCTCTGTGCGTAACATTCTTTTTTCGTGTGAAACTCACTGTGAGCATATGTGGCCTGGACCACACTAAAGTCAATTACACCATTTACACCATTAGTGAATTTGGCCCTATTAATTGTCATAACATCAGAATAGGATTTTGCCTTTGTTTCCAAATTATCCCCTCTTCTTCCCTGTAACAATGGCAGTAGCATGTCTTACCTCCAGGAGAATGGCTGTGTATATAAACCAGAGTTACATATAGAGTTGCTTATTAGAATGTATACAGCATTTCCCATCTCCATTGGGGAAATACTACAAATTAACTTTCTTTTATCTCTGTTGGGATTAGCAATTTTGAGAATCCTACTGTAGATAAACTACCAGTTGACATGATATTTTAAGCACTGGATGATTTAATCCAGTCTGAAGAAGGTTTAATCAATAGGGTACTTGAAATGCTGGTAGCTGCCTACACAAGATTTCCCAACATTTTTGTCATTCGTGGAGCTGCCCTAGTATGAGAAGAGATGAAGAATCTTCTTGTAGATAAGGCCAGAGTCAGTGTCAGAGTTGGGAACAGGACTCTATAAATCCTGGCTCCCACATCTGTGCTTAAACCAGTGATGGGCTACTTAGCTAGTGAGTGGGATGCACGAGTGACACTCCTTCATCTCAGTAGGCTGTAAGATTGTCATAACAGACTGTTTCCCAGGATAGTAGAGTTTTGCTAACTGCACCCGTGTACCTAGCATTTGCAGTGTGCCAATTAAACTGTTGCAGCTTTTTGGATACAGAGGGAACACATAGCTTTCACAGTCAATATTGTATGCATTCAGCATGCATCTCACTTCACCTGTTGTTGCTTTATATGTGTTGTTTTAGTAATATCAGTGGGGAAAAAACTATGCAGAAACAAACCAGCGACCCTGCATATGGACAACGGTAAACAAAATGTCTTCTAGGCCACACACAGAACAAGGTGAACTGCATGCAGCTCTTGGGCCATATGTTGCCCACAACTGGCTTACCCTGTGTTCAACAAGGTGGATAAAAACTGGCTGGTTTCTTTGGTTGGTTGGTTGTTTTGTTTTGTTTTGTTTGTTTAAAAGGGAAAATAACATTTTAAAAAATCAGATTTTGATTGCTTTACTTTTTTTCTTTTTAAAAACTGCTTAAAATGAAATCTGAATTTAATACGAAATTTCTTGTGGATTAAATTCATTATCTCTAAAACATTTAAATAAAAATAAATATGCTGAAATCACAAACCTCTATCAAAAATTTTGAACTAATTCATATTATTAGAGCTAAAGGTTGTTTTTCTATATAAAGAAAGAA